ACACACACACACACACACACACACACACACACACACACACACACACAAATGGAACAAAAAGAAAAATCCCAAGAGATAAGTATCATGTTTCACAGTGCTAGGAGTGGTAGAGAGAAGATTTAAACCCAGGTCTGACACCAGAGGACTTATTTTCTTCTCATACTGTACTATTTGCCAAGATTAAAAGCATTAGGGCCATAGAGTACAACCCAACTGTGTTCTGTGGCACTTCAAGGATTTGTGTCATGCTTGCAGGATTGCCATGGTAACATACCACTGCTCTGAGACACCTTTTGGTGATATTTTAACTTTAGAGTTAGAGACTTGATGGAAATTCTTCCAACATTTATCTAAACAGAATAGGATAATGAACCCCCATCACCATGGTCAAGCTTTTTCCACCCTTCAAGTTGCATTTTAAACTACTCTGGCCTGGCAGCAGGCCCCACTGAGATTGCCTTTTTGAAGAGAATTCACAATATCCTGCAGCTTCTCCCATTGTTCCATGCCTCTTCCCTACACGGTTCTCCAGCTTGGCCTTGGCCTGGGAGGTGGCCTGTTGCTTAGTTCTACATTCTGGGCCATCCTTCAGGGGCTGCTGAAAAGAGCTCTAAACATGGAGCTGAGGACCGGACTCAGAACATTATCATGGCTATGAAAGACCGTATGAAGATCCGAGAGCGGAATAAGCCAGAGATCTTTGAGGTGATCCGGGATGTCTTCACCGTGAGCAAAGTTGCCCATGTGCAGCAGATGAAAACAGTAAAGCAGAGCGTCCTGGATGGTACCTCCAAATGGTCAGCCAAAATCAACATCACTGGTGAGCAACATCACTGGTTTGAGGGCTTAGGGATACCTGGACTATGGGGAAAATGTGAGAGGAAGCATCTCAAGTATGAGGAAACAAGAGATTGAGGAGAAAGAAGGTTTAACTGAGAGGAAGAGAGAATCCTATCACTAATCACTCCTCCTGTCACCCATGTATACCTTGGTGCTAGAAGAGGCAAGTACTTGCAAACAGTCCTAACAGTTTGACACTGTACCCTCGGTTAACAGTTTGAGTTTTAAAAGCTGGGGTGGGAGAAAAGGGGTAGGGAGACAACCAGAGGATAGTTCACCTGTGGTTTGCTAAGGTGTAAGGTGGGTGGGGCCGAGACATGTGCCTGTTAGAGGGTTAAAGACCAATGAGGCAGTCATTGGCCAGGAAGGACTCAGGGAAGGAGATGAGACTTTTGGACTGAGCTTTGAGGGAGAGGCTGGTAGTCCAGAGGCTGGTAGTCCAGATATGAGAAATGAGGTTAGGCTTGCTGTGCACACATAGGGAGCTTTGCTAAGTTGGAGAGACTGTGAGTAGTGCTGAGGTGGGGTATCTGACGTAATTCTGAAATGTACTCTGAGCCTTCTGATTTGTGCTGGTTTGCAGTGGTTTGTGCCCAGGGCCTACAAGCCAAAGACAAGACAGGATCCAGTGACCCTTATGTGACCGTGCAAGTTGGGAAAACCAAGAAGCGCACCAAGACCATTTTTGGAAATTTGAACCCTATTTGGGAGGAGAAGTTCCATTTGTAAGTCATGGGAGTGGGCACACATTACTATCATTCCTGGAAATATGTATGTCTCAGAAATGGTATCATAACCCACTTTCTGGCTTTAGCTCCAAAACTGACAAAGATGAGATTCTCACATGTTTCACTGGACAACAGCCATACTTTCTTGGGGTTTCTTCTTATAGTCTTTGGTAGCTTACCCAAACCCTGTGTTAAGGAGGTCAGTTTATGACTGGTGTTTTTTTTTTTTTTTTTTTTTTTTATCACTGGAAAAATTTCCCTACCACTCTGTGACTGCTTCCTAGCCCAGCTAGCAAGTGTTAAGATTTTCTTAGGATGGAGGTGAGAATGTCCTGGGCCTATAACTGGATAATTATGGTTTGACATTGGCGATCTTGGGTCTGGAGATGTTTTTCTCTTTCTTAAGGAAAGCCTTTCTTCTGGTCCCAGCATATTCTTTCATTCCTTTTCCCTTGCTGCTCCTTCTTCTAGACTATTTCACTAGTCTAGAACTTGGATGAAAGTCGGGAGTTGCCAGATGGCTCTGTCTCACATCCCTGCTCCCAAGGTGTAAGAGCAGGACGTTGGGTCTGAAGCTGCTGAGCAGGCTGGTACATAGAGAACAGGCTCTTTTGACTCCTTCAAGCACTTCTGGAGTGTGACCACATCTGCAGTCCAGGCAGCACTTACTGAGTTATGCACCTGTTTGTTTGGGAATCTGAATACTTTCCTGCTGACTACTTTTACATGGCTACTTTTAAATGAACTGGCTCATGGTCGTCATCTTTTACCCATTAGAGAGGAACAATTCATTCAGTTCCTATTCCATGCCAGATGCTTTCCATGATGCTGTTCATTCCAGAATGAGTGACACAGTCTTTGTCTTCAAGAAGCACATTGTTGACTTATCTGTTATTTTTCAGTAGAGGAGTAGTTATATTATAGTGTTTTAATGGAAATATCTTGAATGTGGAAAGACATAAGAACAGAGGGAAATGAAAAAACACATTCTGCTTAGTGCCGGTTTGGGGTAAGGCACGAAGATCCAGGAAACAACTTCTGGGGAGGACAGCAAGATTGGAGACCCAGGTGTCTCTCTTCTCTAAAGCAAAAACACCACAGGAGAATAGCCATTCAATAAAGAACTATAGACATTCATAAGCACAGAGTTAGCTACGTGGGGGAATTAGTAAGTTAAGCAGATAAGACCTGATGACCCTACTAATCATGTAGCGCCTTCGACTTCATGTGTTGGACTTTGAGGAAGGAACCAGCAGTTCTTTCTGGAACCCTTTCATATTGTTCTGTTGGAATTCTGTTGGAATTAGCTGCATAAGGAACCAGAATTGACCATAAGTACTTCTTTCCTTCCCATCCCTAAGGCCTGAAAGATTTTTGCTTGGGACTTGAATGTCAGTGTCTTGACTTTTTCTTTCTCTTTCAAGTGTGGTTGGTGGAGCTCTGGGATGTTGATGTGACAGTGATGCTGCTAGGTCTGTCCCATCCACTGTCCCACCTGCTCTTTTCCAGTGAGTGCCACAACTCTTCCGACCGGATTAAGGTACGTGTGTGGGACGAGGATGATGACATCAAATCCAGAGTAAAGCAGCGGCTAAAGCGAGAGTCAGATGATTTTCTTGGCCAAACCATCATTGAGGTTCGGACACTGAGTGGAGAGATGGATGTCTGGTACAATCTGGGTGAGGAAACTGAACCATAAAATGTTTCTGTGATCGAAGAGCATTCAGAGGGATCTAGGAAATCCACCAAATCACCAACTCCAGATCATACCGCTATACAGAGCCTGTCTTACCTTTAGAGGTGACCATCTTACCTTTAGAGGGGTGGGAAACAAAGTGGCAATGGGTAAACCCATTCTAGCCTGTACAGTCCTTAAGTTTCAGATCTTCTAGTCTTCACCCTAATCCCTGTAAGTCTCTGTTTACTCCTGTTCTTCCACTTAGTCAGCACTGTGTTGTTTGTGGCCTCTTGGGTTGATGCTGTTGTTTTTTCCTGGATTCACGAGGACAGGGTGGTCAGTATCTTCTATAGTTGCATTACTATGAATTGTAAGTCTCTTTTTCTTTGTAGAGAAAAGAACAGACAAGTCAGCTGTCTCAGGGGCTATCCGACTACAAATCAATGTGGAGATCAAGGGGGAGGAGAAGGTAGCCCCATACCATGTGCAATACACGTGTCTCCATGAGGTGAGCAGCACAGTAGTGGGCATTTGACCATAAGTAAGGTTGGCAGGTGCTTGGATATCTAGGACCATTTTGTTTTGTCTTATTCTTGGCTCAGTGTACTGCTATTGTAGGTAGTCTGAGGGACTGGACCATTCTTTTCTTTCACTGTGAGAACAGGCTTCTATGGCCATTGGAAGGCCTAAGTAATGACATGAAGGAAATTTTCAGTTATGTGCTTGTGATGCTTCTTTCTCTCTGCCTTGTGTTCTGCAGAACCTTTTTCATTACCTCACAGACATTCAGGGCAGTGGAGCAGTCTGGATCCCAGAGGCGCGGGGAGATGATGCGTGGAAGGTGTACTTTGATGAAACAGCTCAAGAAATTGTGGATGAATTTGCCATGCGCTATGGCATCGAATCCATATATCAGGCCATGACGTGAGGCTCTCTGGGGTCCTGGGAAGTGGCTATTAATGCTTTGGGTAGCTAATGAAGGCACAGGACATGGAGGGACAGGTGCTTAGTAGCCGTGAAGTACAATGGTTTCATACTTTCCTTTTTTAGCTGGGTGGAGTGTGTTTGTGCTCCAAGGCAAAGAAGCATTTGTTAGAAAGGGAATATATTTGCTAGCACCTCAGGAATGCCATTTACCCATCAAGATCAGGGTTAGGAAAGGAAAAGGGTATGAGTGGGTATACAAAGACACAGGACCAGATATCGCAGGTCTGAGCAAGTACAGCATGTTTTTGCTCATGTACATATGTGCGTAACTGACAAGCTGACCTAGATTGCCCTGAGAGTCAACAAAGAGTATGCTAAGCTGTAGGGAAAATATTTCTCTGGGGAATCTACCAGCAGTCCTGTAATAGAAATCCTTGTCTGCTGGGAGAAGTGTCAGTTGTGATGCTGCCATAGAGATGTACGCAGGGATCCCTGCTGCATAAGCAGAGGGAAGTGCCTGCCTGGCTCTGCTTCCACAGACTTCAGTTGGCTTCCTACTTGACTTCTGCTGCAAGCTGTGAAGAGTCTTTGAGAATGAGGATTCTGTTTTTCAGGCACTTTGCATGTTTGTCATCCAAGTACATGTGTCCTGGCGTACCAGCAGTGATGAGCACCTTACTGGCCAACATCAATGCCTATTACGCTCACACAACTGCCTCCACTAATGTCTCTGCGTCTGATCGTTTTGCGGCCTCCAACTTTGGTGTGAGTGTGATGAAATAGGTGTACCCAAATGTTATTAATTGTTTGTTGTTTTCTGGCCAGTTGTATAGAGTTGACTGATGTGCCTAATACTCAGATAGTTGCTGCCTAGAAAGACAACCCTTTTTTCCTTCTGCATAGGATAATAAAGTATCCTCAGACTCTAGAAAATGATGACACCACTATGCTTTAGAAGGCATTGCTGTGTGGACCCACTTTACTTGAATCACAGTGTTTAGTCTTAGTCTTACAGGCATTGCTCAGAATGTCACCTGACATAAATTCAGAATAAACAGGATGAAAGACCTATCATGGATGCTCTCTCAGTAGGAATAAAATTACTAATATCCCCACAGTCTACTGCATCTGTGATCCCCAACTTTTGGTACTCATAGCATTTTTGTTGTTAATAAAGTTTTTCTGTAGATGAGCTGATGTAATTAATTAAGCTAATCAGGTCCCTTTATGTATTGACTTAATCAGTATCTATCTATTGATGAATATATATGAATTCTGGAATTCAATGAATTCCAATATAATGAATTTTGGAAATGTTATGCTTACAGCCTACATATGATTCCATATTTAATGATAGTTTTTCTATGAAAACTAGTAAAATAGTATGTATTATATATATATTTAATGATAAAATACACATTAAGAAAAATTATAGGGAACTTGGCCAAAAGAGAGACTTCTTGTGTCTTTCTGATCATTTTTCAAATGCATCACTATTTTCTCTCTCATCGTCACTGTTAGACTCTGGCTGTAAAGCTGTTAAGAATGCCCCAAGATAAGTGTAGTGGCATACACCTTTAACCCCAGTTATTGGGAGGCAGAAGCAGGTGGACCTCTGAATTTGAGATCATCCTGGTATGTAGAGTAAGTTCTAGGATAGCTAGGGCTACACAGAGAAACCCAGTATCAAAACACCCTGCCCCCCCCCCAAAAAAAAAAAAAAGAATGCCCAAGAAGCTCCTTTGCACCAGGGTGGCAAGGAAGATGTGGAGGTCCAGCCACTCTCTTGTCCCCTCCCTGCAGGCCCCAAGGCTAGGGAGACTTTTGAGTGGACACTGACCTCACTTTGTTGGCTATGGCTATGGTGAGAGGGTAGGGTTTGGAGGTCCTCCTATGCGGGAGTGAGGCAAGGGCCTGTGATGGAATGAGAACGATCCAGAATGTGTTGGTCTGTGTAGGGAAAATGTCCTGAGGGGAGGAAGGTTAGGAACTTGGGAGTGTCTGGTTGAGGATATGATGGCAAAGTGAAGATAGCTGGAAGCAGAGTATGTTAGGTGTCCACTGTCCTGTCCATCTGTGTGCCTGGCTTCCCCATCCCCACTTTGGACTGGCAGCTGCTTATTATCAGGGCTTGCGTGTGAGTTGTCTTTCCCCAGTTCTTCCAAGGGATTCACTACCTGTAAGGAAGCTGAAAGGGCTCCTGAGGGAGCTCTGAGATACCGATGAGACCATATTTGGCCTCTGCAGCCTTTAAGTCCGACTTCACCTAACCCTGGCACTTCCACACCTCTCTTCCAATGTCCTTGTGAGCCATTGCGGGCTTGTCTTTTCTCCTTAGTCACAAGGGTCAACCAAGGATGACTCAACTAGATGACCCTCACCTTAGGCCTTTCCAAACTCTGCTGCTGGGATTGGAAAGAGCAAAGCAGAAACTTTTTTCAAGGTCCCTAGGATAAGGACCCCTTCCAGCCCTATGTCCTTTGTTCAGTGGACCTGCTTCCCAGGTAGGGGCCTCAGAGACCACTGGCAGCCAGTGCTCAGGAATGCCCGGTCCCTCAGTCCTACAGGGTCATGCCACTTATTTCTTCTCATGCTCTCTTGTGCTGTAGGGGTTTGAGCATTCTTCTGTATATGGTATGAAGAATCTGTGCCAACTGTTTAAGCTTTTGTTAATCAATAAATGCTTTATTTAAAGCTAAAAAAAAATGCCCTAAGAGAAGTTCAGAGATCTCAGACTCAGGAGCAAGTTGGAGAAAGTGTTTGGATTTCCTTTTGCCTGACTAAGATCAACTAAGTTCTCAGACAGACAGAAATGCACTCACTAGTCACATCCTGTGTTTTAGAAAGAGTTTTTTTTCTTTTCGTACACGACTGTGTCTTTGTCACAGTGTAAAAGGTTTCCTAGTTTAAGACAGTGTTTACCTCGTCTTATTTTTCTTTATATTGACTGTTCCCATGGACAGAGGTTGGAAAAGATGCGTGGCCAGCCAAATGTCCCTTCCCTGCTGTTTCTCATTTTCCATGGGTGGTTCTGTTTCTACTGGAGTTGAGGAGGCTCAGAAAAAGATTGCTTCTCTGTTTTATTCTTTCTTTCTCACCCTTAGAAAGAGAGATTTGTGAAACTGCTGGACCAGCTACATAACTCACTGAGGATAGACCTCTCTACGTATAGGGTAAGTGAAGACATGCTGTAGGCAGAAGAGTAAGAAGCACTAAACTCGATCTGGAAGACATGGGCAAATCTTAACTATAAGGATGAAAGGATGAAAACTGGTTGATGTCATTATGCCCACTTGGATGGCTAATGCTATCAACACACATTGCTCTTCTGACTCCTAAGATCATTGCAGTGTAGAAGTAGCAGGTGTGGCTGCTTTTAGTGGGCAGGTGGCTTTCTACCCTATTCGTATCACTCTATCTGACTTTATAATGACAGACTCTCCCAGAGGTTTCCTTCAAATATTAGATACTTAGTCATCTTCCTTTCTTCCTTCCTTCCTTCCTTCCTTCCTTCCTTCCTTCCTTCCTCCCTCCCTCCCTCCCTCCCTCCCTCCCTTTCTTCCTTCCTTCCTCCTCTTTCCTTTCCTTTGTCTTCCCTCTTTCTTTCTGTCCCTCCTTCTGTCCCTCCCTCTCTGTTTCTCCCTCCCTCCCTCCCTCCCTCTCTTCCTTTTGCTCTTCTCATTCCCAAGAGAGGTAGTCTTTGGCTAGAAGACTAAAGAATAGTCTTGGCCAAGTGAACTGTGTTAGGTATTATATCTTTGCCTGGTGTAGGAGAGTGGGTACCTGCTATGGCCCTGGGTGAGAAAATGGATAGTTTCTCAGCTCCTTCCAAGTTAGATCTTCTTACAGTGGCCTCATCACCTGCTTAAAATATCAAGAATCTCCACAATAGGCAATCCACACACCTTAGAAAGTAAATACAAGAGCAGCCTCCCTTAACAAAGTGAAGTTTTGGTTATCTGCTGCACGGTCCTTGTCCTCCATTTGTGTGAATAATGGAGAAATAATTATATGTTACCTTTGGCATTAGTAGCCATCTGTAGGCTTAAAGCTGACAGAATTTATTTCTCCATGGCAGCTTCCTCCTAAAATGTATGTCAAAGAGAATAGCTTATGATATACAGGGAAGTCCTAAGGAATTCACCTCAGAGATCTTGCTCAGAACTCTGCCATCTGCTGGCACCAGAACACTGGAAGAGCAGGGTGGACTGCAAGTCCAGGCTCTGGATCTCAGATTGGTCTGTAGTGTGGCTTCACTTATATCCATGATACACAGTTAGATTATATCCTTTGAAGTACTTAGTGGGTATAGGAATCTTCATTGAAGGAGGAGGAGAGGGAGAGTGAGCATGGGGCAGGGACTGACTGTGTCTGTGTTCATCTGAACAAATGCTCACATGTTCCTGGGAAGCAGGTGTGGCTTTCTGAGACATGAAGTCCTCATCTTGGAGCCAGGCAAGGACCTGCCTGCTTCAGTAGGAAAGAAGAATTGTAATCCAGTGATGCAGGCTGCCCAGCTCAGCCACAGAAACCCCAGTGGGCAGCAGTTACGCAAGTTTTGGTTTCATTAGGTTTGGCAGTGAAGGTTTTTGTGTGCTTCTCTTCCTTTCTTAACATTTACTTGATTTGTAACAGAATAACTTTCCTGCTGGGAGCCCTGAGCGGCTTCAGGATTTGAAATCTACAGTGGATTTGCTGACCAGCATTACTTTCTTCAGGATGAAGGTAAGAGTGGGCAGAGCTGGCCAGCACTGGGCTGAAGAGTTGGCCATGAAAACAGGGAGAGTAAGAGTCTTTGGACAGTCTAAAGCTACAGTATTCATCACCTTTAAGTTTCCATTTCCAAACACACCCATTCCCTAGGTTACTTCTAGGAGGTATAATCCTTAGGTCAGTGAAGAAGGCCTGCACATTCTCCAGCAGCTACCCTGCGGTGTCAACATCATAGCTTGTGTTCATTAGTTTTCTTGTCTTTGTGTCAAGATACCTGACAGTCACACCTAAGGGGAGGAAGGTTTACTTCAGATCTTGGTTTCAGGGAATGCAGTTCATCGCAGTAGGGAAGGTGCTTAGTCCAAGACAGTGGGAACTTGCTTCTCTGAGTCTCACATCTTGGTGGCTCAGGAAGCAGAGTAGAAGTGGGAGCAGGGCCACACTGTAACTCTCAAAGGCCCGCTTCTAGTGATCTGTGTCTGATAGCTAGACACCATGTCCCAGAGGCTCCATGGTCTCCCCAAACAGTACCTCCAGCTGGGGTCTAAATGCTCAAAGCATGAGCCTATGGGAGATGCTTTCCATTCCAACTGAAACATCAGGCAAGGTGAAGACCTGCAAAGGTGAAACAAACCTGAGTAGATTTGCAGGAATGATGGGTAGATATCCCACCAAGGTGAGCAGGACCCTGGGCCTATATTTCTTCTGTTAACTGGCAGGTGCAAGAACTGCAGAGCCCCCCAAGAGCCAGCCAGGTGGTAAAGGACTGTGTGAAAGCCTGCTTGAACTCCACTTATGAATATATCTTCAACAACTGCCATGACCTCTACAGTCGCCAGTACCAGCTGGTAAGAGGTTTGGGGTTAGTGAGCCCAGCTGACAGTAGCTCGTGGGAGTCTCAGCTTTTCTTACTACAAATTCACGGTGGAAAGGTACTCAAAACAGAGTCCTTGATGTTCTCAAGGATGTGAGTTGTCGACTTTGGACCATTTGTCTCATAGATGTAGATGTCTATGAATTGACAAAGGGCCCTTCTATAAAATGTAATATATACATACCTTTGCTGAACAGAAATGGCTGTGATAAGTTTTGCTTTGAGCAGTTAGTGGCTCAATTTGAGTAGAAGTCTCAGGCCATCCCAGCACCTTTCTTTTACCCTTACTGTTTCAAGGTTAATTTTGATCAGATGTAAGATCTGTACCACCTTCCTCTGAGACTGTGGCTGTCTCTGAGCTCTGGGCATGAAAGTCTGACTTTTCCCTTTGGTGACTGGCTCTGCAGTTCATGATCTTCTGGAATTATATTCACCCACTGACTCTCAAGGTTGAAGCTCACCTTCTGTCAGGCTGCTCCACTTTACCAGTTCCAGCTAGCATTCTCAGTGTTTGGAAACTTACTTTATTTTTCTTTAAACAAATTTTTATGGCATTTATTTCACTATTTTGTGTATATAAACACACACACACACACACACACACACATACACACCAACACACACACACACACACACACACACACACACACACACACACACACA